TTTTTTTGTAACTTGAAAATAGGAAGAGTGTTCGTTTTATATGCATTACCCCATATCTCCAGACAGTAAGTCATCCTGTTGAGACTTTTCAAAATAAACTGAATCACGTGAAAGAGCAGATTATTTACGGATGAGAAGCAAAAAAAGAGCCGTCAGGTGCTAAAAAATAAACCTTAGACTCAAACGTTACAACAGGCTTTTCCCTAATAAATACTTACAAAGAAAACAGCGGCCGTTAAAGCTTAAGTCTAAAAATGTATGGTTTCATACAGCGTTAAAAAACTCGACTCCAGGTACACGACGCCCAGCTGGAAACACTTCACGCAAGTCGAGCTGCCCGAGATTCACAGAATTTACAGAAAATGTTAAATTTTTGTGATTTATATCATTATCGGGACGATAGATGCCTTATATCGGGATATGAAATTTTGGTCATATCGCACAGCCCTATACCATATAATATAATAGCAAAATGTCATATCGCAGATCTAAATTTGGACAATCAGCATTTTCCATAAAGGCAGCCTAACAAGGGACAATGGTTGGAAATTAGCAATAGCCATAAACTTTTGTGCAGTACATCAGTTTTATGTTTTATACTTGGACTATGTTAAACTGTACTGTCCCTTTTAAATAAAGAATTATTACTATTATTATTATTGTTATTATTATTTGTCTGATCTTTTCCAGCTCTTGCAGGGTCTCCCTCTTAGTTATCTGTGAAACTCTTTGTCCTCCATTGATATATCACCTAAAGACACCACATGTACCAGGTTACAAGACTTAAGTGGTGTAAGACAAGCTGAAGAGACCACAAAGTGTCTGCCAGCAGTTGAAATGTCACTTTAGGCATGTGCCGTTGGGCAGCGACAGTGAGCATTATGTGCAGGCAGCTCCAGAGTGTCCCTCCTTTAGTGGCTGGAGAAATGTGCGCTGCAGCTGGTGACGATAGCTCCTTCAACTAGAGAGGTTGGAGAACTGGTTCATGTGCCTGACCAGAACAAAGACTACCGCTGCAGTTTAAAGCACTGGACTTATTGATGCAACAAAACAAACATGGCATTGTTGAATGTGCGCAGACTTGATGTATAAAATATTACCCAGTGCCATTGTTCATCAGTGAACCTAATCTACTGTCCTTCATTTTCCTCTGCCCCTTGAAAAACAATATTACTATCTCCGAGTGAAGACAGAAAGATGGCCTTTTATCGGAAGAAACCTTATTGTTTCTGTACAGCGCGACACTTGATCTCCTCGCTGACTGTGCAACTGGTATACTAAGACAAAAAAGTTGCTGACTTCATGAAGCTGCAGGTGGGGCGGCACATGGCCTTCCTGCAAGACACAACTTTAGACAGATTGCTTGTGGTAAATTTTCTAGGTCATCGTTCATAAAGTACTGAATGATAAAATTATCTTGTACTTTCTCCTTGTGTCTAATGCAAGAAAAGGAAAAGTCTCTAGACAAAGACTGTCCATTTCTCAAGAGGAATGACAAACAGTAAGCATTATTCTCATCCACCTAACACCTCCTCCATCCACATCCATCCATTCATCCATCCGACACATCCTCCTCCAGCTCAGTTCACCTTCTGATTTCTTTCCCATCATGCCCACACGCTGTCAATCCAACAACTCACGAAGCAGGCCATGCGTAGATGTGCTTGTCAGAGATATCTGCATATGTAATTTACCTGTTTATGTGTCTATATCTCTGTATGTGCTGTGAATGCGTTTGATGATCATTACCGTGTGTGCGCGCATGTATACAGACGTGCTTACAGTCCAAGCGAGCCCAGCGACAGTTCTATGTCACAAGGCAGAAAACATCAACATGCTGAGTCTGCAGCAAGGCGCCAGTCACCAGGGAAACAATTCAGACAGACACACACGCACACAGTCAGCCAAAACACATCGTCTGAAAAGCACCAGCAAAACAAGTCATCTAAAACGCTGCAGTCATAAACACGAAATTAAAGGCCGCCTTCGCACTCATTGTAACCGGAGCGGTTTAATTAAGCTCTGTAACATTTACTCCTTCACCTAGTGTTTTCATTTTTTAAGGCAGGTGAGAACTACTGGACCATACAAAACATCTGACTGTGATATGTGAGCTACTGTTTCTTTTTGGAAACATTTAAAACATATTTTTCTAAACAAGCAAGTATATCTTAGCATTAGACAGACTAGTAGTTCCTAAACCTTACACAACAAAACCATGGGCTGAGCCAAAAATGATGCCACTGTTGAGCTCTGCAGATAAACATCTGGGAAATTGTAATGCAAAGATCTGCAGACAAGTTAATCTTGCATAAAAACATCCTCCCAGCTTTCCTCCTTCCTTGCGTCAAAATACAATAAAGCAGTTAAACAGACAGGTTGGTAAATTCAAATCTACACTAATCAGACCAAAGGCTGCCCGGATGATATTTACATTTTAAATCCCTGATAAGTTTTTGTCTGTAACACTTTCCTTACCTTTTTGGCAATGATTGGAGTTCCAGCAACGGTAGTTATAATTGTTGTTGAACATGGTCTTGCTGCACTGGGGGTTGTTCTCCATGATACCTGGGCAAACATCACTGCACTCCTTCGACTGCTTGTTTCCAGCAATGTAATTGTTGAATTCTGCATCCATGATGAGGGACCAGTCGATGGAGTCCAGGTAACAGAGCTCAGGGTTTTTCTCAATACGGATGGCTCCACGGGTGATGTTCCTCAGGTTGTACAGGCCGATGTCCTTCAGGCTGGTCATCTCAAAAATCACCAGGGCGTAGTTGTAGAAGAGGTTACGACCATGAATGACAGTGAGGTTGGGAAAGAGCGTGCTAAGACTGTCCAGGCCGGATACCCGGAATAGCAGCAGGTAGTCTGTGATCATGGTCAGCTTGGGGAAGCTGAGGGAGCGGAAGACTTCCTGGTTGTTGATGTTGTTGTTTTTGTCACCAATGAGGAGGATCTGCAAGTAGCCCTCCACCACTGTGCAGTTCTCCAGACGCCTGAATTCAGTGATGTCATTGCCAATATCAATGTTGGGTCCACAGACTGCAGGGGAGGAGAAAAAACAAAAACAAAAAAAACCCAAAATAAAACATAGGTCAGTATCAGTTACATCGAAAAGTAAATATGTAACACCTCAGGTATTTCACTGCTATATAATACAGCTGCTCAACTGCAGCAAAAGGCATGATCCCAGTATTTTTCATTATTTATTATTTTACCATCATGCCAATGACAAAATTGTGAAAAATATGAATCTTATTGCAGGGAATTTCCTTGAATGTTAAATATAAATCAAATGAAAAACGTGAGTGAGGTGGTTGTCCCAGTCTGAAGAAAATTTTCAACCATGAAAACATCTCTTAGTAATCAGAGCAGCTGAGCCATCTAGAGAAAAACGGAACTTCAACAACCTTTAAGTCTTTCCATAACTTAACCTACAGAAACATTGCGAGTTTTACGTCTTCAAATAGATATAGTTGACCAGGTCAAAACTAAACTGGGAGTGACTCAAAAAGGCACTGCTGAGAGATGCAAAGAGGTCCATCTGATTATAACAAGATAGAAAATGAGGTTTGTGTCAGAATTAATGCAAAAGAAAAAAAAAGAAGCAACTTTTATCCCAGCTTCTTCTTCTTTTTTTTAAGAATATTTAGCAGAAGCCACAATTGCAACTAAAGCTGTATTGTGTCCTTTAATTTAAAGTTCTGGTCAGGAACCAGAACTATTTCGTCTTTACAATCGCATTCTCGGCTAAATCAAAACGGTCCTGCCTGATCTTTAGAAGCTAGACAACAAAACCTTGTTTAAAAATGATGGAGAATTCATAACTCATGGACCCACCCTTAGCAATAAATAGCTGTTAAGAATATCAGTGGTTTCCAGCTCTGCAATAGCGATACCTAAAGGTTTATCCAGTACATTTTTTAAATATTGACAGTACATTTGAGCCGTGCTGTTGCTGACAGAGTGTGTTTGCCTTGCAGCTCTCATTTCAATGGCAACTTAACATGGTGTGACAAAGTAAACACTTGAGTCACGTTCGATCCAAGCTTAGGTTAACAGTGCAATAAAGTTTTGATTGCTCTGCGTTGAGGCTGTTGTTACACTTGCAGCCATTTATTACAACCACAGCATTTAGTTTCGCTGTATGTTTTTATCAACCCTTCGTAACGCATCAACATCAAAGGGTTAGAAACTATTCGACTATCAAAGACATCGTACATAAAACATGTTCACCGTGTCAGTTGATCAAATACATTATGTGATAAAATAACTTGTCAAACAAAGGACATAATTAATGATGACAAGGTTTAAAAGTACTGTAGTAACATAACTCTTCATGAAACAAGAGTCTGGAACTACGTGAGGTGAAGCTGTGCTTCAGACCAACAGAATCATGATGACAATGCCAAAAACCTGTATTTAGCAGTTATAATGTTTATGACTTTCAAGATTTTTTAATCAGCTGCAAAAACATGTCATCATTTCCATCTGCAACACTATGTGTTGCACAGTGGACTTTGTATTTTGTACTATGACTTTACCTTGTCTGTGAATGTGCATTCACGGTGTACGGATTTTATAATCCATAATTTTGTAATGGTGTTCCTTCTTGGCCAGCTGAACCTTGACCAATAGATTTTAATCTCAAGAGAATTCCTTGTTTAATAAAAGTGAAATGAAATAAAATAAAACCTAAAGTAGCAAGAAATTACTAGAAAAAGGCAGCTTTGAATACTTTTATAGGCATTTATTGCCACTTTTGATGCTTCCTGAGATGAGATGTGACAGTCTGTGGAAACCTTTGGTAAACATGTGTGTGTTGAGTATGTTGTGTAAGGTACATCTAGAAACTTGAAGATTGAGTTCAAGGATGATGTGGTCCTACCCATGAGTACATGAAGTAGGGCGCTAGAAGTAGGTGAGCCAAGGTGGTGAAGTTAGTGTGACTAATGACAAACTGGGCATCCTTTGTACTTCTGTTCTGTTCTTTTTCTTGGCAATCATCTGGGTATACAATGCCCCTTTCCCACTATACACACAGTCACACAGTCTTTTTTTTTATTTAAATGCATTGGTATCTTTCCATATAAGGTTTATTTATCTAGATATTTTATATTTTATGTGAAGGCAATAGAAGAAGGACTAATCGATGTCAGTGGGATGTACAACTGTCTCTCAAACTCCTTGTGAGACGTGCACATTTTCCACACAAGCTGAAGATGACAACTAACCAACAACTCAGTCAAGAGCAGCTGAAAGCAACGACCTTAAGCAACTGTTAATTACCCTTCCTCAGGTGCACCTATAGAAACCTTTCACAACTTCTAGATACATCTTGGTGACCCAAACATTCTGTCATCTGAACAAAACTGGGAGTGAGCATGGAACTTGTAGGAAAAAGTTAGGAGATAAGAGTAACAGGTTATATCCTTTGAGGGCACACTGACAATAATGGCAATCCATCCAGTGATCAGTTTCCTTCACCACTGTCTTCTGGGTCACCCCATTTTTTACCTAATTTGTGTGTCCTTGTTTAATTTCAGTGTGATGTCACAGCATTTAATGCATTTTGGACTCATATGTGTCCTTACAAGTTTCTCAAGTAGTTTCACCTTGTGTATGTGAGAGGGGAGAGGGATAAAGTAGAGCACACAGAGCTGTAGTGCATAAGAGAATAGTGCAAGTTCCCCTTAGCTTGTTAGCCTTTGACAAAAGTTTCCCCAACAAGTGTCATTTAGCTCTAAAACAAAGATGGACCCCTAATGCCTCTAACCCCCTAAAGCCGTGATCCATGTCTCGCCCTTTAGTATTCACTACATACACTAAGATGTAGTGAACTACATTAAAAGTATTATAACTATTAGAAGTATTTGCCAAGGTCAGAAGTGAAATGTTAGGGCTTTTGATCAAAGCACAGACAACAAAGGACAGCTGCCAGCCCCTCTGATGAGAACTAATTGCAAAAACATGCATTTATGTACTTTTATGTTCAGTGTAAAAATAGATTTGTTCACATTTGTTTTCTTTCTAACCTCTTGAGAAGTATTTTATTTACTGAGGCAGTCAGTGGGCTGATTCTTTTTAGACAAAGACAACCTCTAAACCAAACAAACTACAAAGTGAAGGATTTAAAAGGAGGCACTGTGCTGGAATCTATGTGGAATAAAACCGAACCAGCATGAGGCATAGTTTGGCAAAACAGGTGATGATCGGTAGACTGATTTTGCCTTTCCAACTTTTCCTCTCACTTTAGGTGTGCACAATACTTTGCCTCAAGCCCCACAGCACCCACAGAAACGCGGAGGCCATTATCACACATCACTGTGAGGAGGATTTAGACTTCAAAAAGCTGGAGGGCACTGAGTCATGGAAAACTCACACCAACCAGCTAACAGGTTGTCACACTGCTACTTACTTTACTGCTGGTCTATAAAGTTTTACTGTACGAAAGCAACACTGAGAGGGGGAGATCGTACATTCCCAGAAAAAGAACTATTGTTTTCTGAGTTAATACATTTTGTGGTTAAACATTAGGTCTGGTGCTAGTTAAGACTAGAAAGGAGTTTTGTGTTGTTCTGTTTTTTTTTTAAATCTACCATAAAAGCAAAGGTATAGCTATAACAAATGCATTGTTTCATTTTAAACATCCCTTCAGTTTTCTAACAAAGTGTTTTATGTTTTATGTATGATTATCATAAAGAGTAGACAGACGGTGCGCTACAAAGTGATACTGAATAAATAACCCCAGCAAATGGCTCTCTGCAAAATGTCACAGGATCAGTTACAGACAGTACCGCCGATACCAAAATATAGAACTCTACAAAACATATGTGGTGTTTCTTCGCTCCTATTGAGGTGGAACAAAGTTTAATTTCAAAAAGAACACTATGAACCTTTCTGCTGGCAGAATGTCTTCCCAAACCACTCAATGCAGTTTAGTGGCATAGAATAATGTAATATTGGCAACACTGCAATAGCACAGTGTTCCAGGTTTTACTCTGACAATAACTAATCATTTACCTTTGAATGAGGACATTTATTTAAAGTTGAAATCACCCAAAATTGAAAAACTTTGCAATGAAACCAGATCCAAGAAAATCTGGATTTTCTGGATTTTTAATTCCTCAACTGAACAAATGCTGAACTGAATTTGATTTTTTAGTTCTGTTTCAGTTAGTTTGAGTTGCTGGCTTCCTTTTTATTGTTTGAAAATGTTTCAGTTGTAGTTCAGCTTTTCATCAGTTTCAATGTTAATTTTTACAATCCCTATTTTAAGCTCTTATCTATCACAGTCATGATGATTGGTCCACATATAAGGCAAAGAGTCTGCATTTCATATTTTCAGCGATTTGATGAATACAAATTTATTAAAGCTTATGTAAATTAAACCCCACTTCAAAAATTATAATGAGCTGAGGTCAAAACCTCCTTTTTAATGCAGGAAAAATCTGTGGTGGTTTACTGCACATGCACACATGACTGGTCAATGTACAGTACCGGTAAAGGCACCAACCCTGTTAACTTATTTGACGGACATATACCATCTATGACAATCTGATAGATATTCTTTTTAATTTAAGTTTAGAAACTATTTTCTTTATCTTCCAGTTTTAGTGGAAACACTGTGCTTCCCTTAGTGTGTAGAGTTTAAGACCTCTCTAGGCAGGGCTTGAGGGCCCTTGGTGTGATTTAGAGCAGGAAGCGTGCTGCATGATCGTTATGTCTTTCTCTGTAATCTACTTGTCAGCAGGCTTCAGTGAGCCGCATACCTGCTAATACACTTCCAACACCCAGGACTGTAAAAAGACACACTGCCTGGTGACGTTACATCACCACAGGCGGCCTCATCAGTTCACCCTCTGTGGCCTCACTGCAGCACCAGCAAAGCCATCTTTCATGGGAACTGCTCCCATCCCGCTTGTGAAAAACAAAAGCTCGTGATCAAAATGTATGTTGTGCGCATCGGCTAAGTGAAAATACCAATAGCAGGTGTAGCAGCTTAATAACTCCCCCTCCCTCTCCTTCCACACTGACAGATTTTAAACAGCTGAGTACACAAGCCTATCTCTGCAGCTCTGATGAGCTTCCAGATCACATATTTACTTTTGATAACCTTTTCCGAGCCGCCTGCAGCATCCAGACTGTCCACAGACAATCAGAGGAAATCCACTAGAAGCTCCATGAGACAAGAAATAGGAAGCAATACAGGCCTCTGAGCTGGTGCTTCAAACGCTGCCACTAGACTGCAGCAAGTCTGTTTACTCCTCGTTTCCGTCCCGTTAGTGACAGACTGCCTGAGGGGCAAGCGTAGTCATAAATACTTTTCCACATGAGAGGCAAGGTGAGAAGAAACGTGATGGAAAGCTTTAAGAAAGAGATCACCGGTGACAGATAAAACTTGTTTGGGGTAATGTGAAAGCTCCGTCTGCAGCAGGACTTAATCAGAGCGGTTTGCTACCAATTAAGATTAAGGTGTTGCAAAGGTATGTCAAGCTTAAAATCTGAGTTTTACGTATATTATTTTATTTCGTTTTTATGGCTCTCTTTGTACCTGGTTAGTAACTAATGCCTAGCACATAGCCTTGTTCAGAGTTCTGGTTTAACATCAGCTGAAAGCACCACCTTTTCACCCTTACTTTTAATCTTTAGCATGCTCTAAGTGTGATACAGACAATCTATTCTGTTCATTCAAAGAATACATTATATGCAACCTTTTGAGCTGTGTCTAATTATTATCACATAAAGAAGCACTGCAGAAAAGGTACAGCCGTGCAACCTGACATGCACCTGACAAATGCCAACAATGACTCTGACTGGTTACAGCGTAGGGTTAACAGAAGATTCCAGTTACATCATAAGTTACGATGCAAGTTACAGCATAAGTTCCAACTTCTGGTTACATTGTCAGACTGTCAGTGCTTTGTATGTTTGTTTGTTTTTTTATTTATTTGCATTTCTTTCTACTCTGCTTTCATCCTCTTTCCTGTTCAAACCCACTTTTCAATCATCACCTGTCTCATCTACCTGTCATCACCGTCAGGCTGCGTGCTTTTGTTTTATGCACAACTTCGTGCAAGCACACCATATCCAAAATCCTTCATATTGCAAAAGCCAAACACCTAAGCAAAGGCAGTAACCTGAAATCCACTTCAGACCTGACTGTCATTTAACTGGATCAATTTTAAAGTTTGAGTGCTAATCTGCAGCTTTGTCATTAGACATTAAAATCCAGAACCCAGAGCCCTCTGAATGTAAAAATACATATATTCATGCATGAATTCACAAGATTTATGATTGCGCTCTTCCTAATGTCGGATCTGCCTCTGATTTATTTAAATATCCCACTGCTGAGTTTTTTTATTACCTTTTTCTCTTAGAATTTCTGATTGGCTTAAATGACTGAACAAGACATCGAACGCACCTTCTTTATGTGAACATGCACAGAGTTTGAAGTAGGAGGTTTAGGGTAACCAAAAACGTTATACCTGTTATCTCCAACTGGGTTTTTAGATTCTGTCAAACTAGCTAACACAAAGAAAGCCCTGCTATGCAGAACTTGCTTCATAGTACACCCTTCATGCCAGATGAACTTCAGTGCCATCTGATACTGTAAATCAGTAAAAAGGCTCAAAGTTAAGCCACACAAGGAATCTTTACACAGCTCCACACCAGAGTAAGAATAAATGCAGGACTTCGATGGGAGAACCTCTCTGCAGCTCTCAGGTTTGTCCTGTAACCAAAACCCCATAACACACAGTTCACAAGCTCCTCAGTCTTTCCAATCAACAGAACTTGGTCTGTGTTGCTTGTGAATGTACTTTGGCTTGTTCTATTTTAAAACCCAGACCCTGGTTAAAAACCCACCTAACCCAGCCCTCCCCAGCACGTCACCATGAATGGGATGAATCGGGAAGCCCAGTTTACAGTTTAGCTGGAAACATGGAAACGTTTCAGATGGCAACACATAAAAAAGAAATGTAGGAATATAAATTTATAGACAATTTAACTGCATCAGATTAAAAGGTTTACAAGCTGACAGAAGTCGTAAGGTTTATGTGCTCAACCGAGTTTTATTTATTGCGAAAAATCCATGCAGTCTGATTAGCGCTCCTTAAAGTGCTATCAACTTTTCATTAAAAAATATATTATAATAAAAAAAGACCCCACAATATTCTAATATTCTTATCTGTTGCCTCTTGTCGCTCAAATGATTTGTGTCTGGTATTCATGAAAGCATTTCCAAGGTCAAGGTATCCCCAGGTTTGTTTGACAAAGGAGAATAAATGACTGTACAGCGAGAGGGGAAAAAACAAAAAACCTGCATTAGTTTCACTCAGCCCCGAGGGAACATTACTAAAAATTACAACCTATATTGTGAATAACATGCACACAAAACATTGCCTAACTGAATGTAAGGGCCGTGTTTAACCAAGTCAGTTTCAGGTGGACGCCGTTTTCCTGGAAAACTTGAAACGTTAACGAAATATAATATGTTTACAGGAAATAAATGCTTGGGTGTGCTTCTTCTTTTTATCCTCTAAATGTGATATATGATAAGCTATATAAAAGGTGAGATCTTGTTTGTTTTTCTTACCTGAATGTGAAAATATTATTTCTCAATTTTAGAGTCAAACTAAACTAAAAATTACATTTTAAAATTCCTAACATTCCACTTGTTTGATGGGGTTTTATATTGGCATACCTCCACTTTGTTTGTTCTGATTCATCATGCTATGAGTCACAGCGATGTATTTAAAAACAAACTAAATGAATAGTCATAACGCTGACTCATGTTTGTGATGTAGTTAGAAACGCCAAGTAAAATATTAAAACGATCTATTATAGTCACACCAAAAAAAAAGTTTTCACCAAGAGTTAAAATTATATTTCCTTTTGTCTCATAAAAATATGTCAAGGTGTAAAGCGCAAATTCCATGCAATAAGATAAGTGTCAGATAGAACAAGATAAAGTTTAGTTATTCCAAAGTTGGAAAATTGCCTCTAAAATAAATTCGACATAACAAACTAGCCTACATATGTAGAAAGCCCCCAAAAATCTCTCAGTGACTTAAAAGCCCATTTAAAGCCCAAATAAATACAACAACTTAAGATAAATAAATATATACACCGCAAATTTAATGTAGAAAAGTAAATCATGATCTATTAGACCGAAATAATGCAAAACTATAGTGAAACCATAAGTGACATTCCATATTTTTTTCGTTTCTAGTAACAACACACCTGTTTTTCACTTTAAATGCATACAAATAATGTGCAAATAGCGGAAATAACACTCTGCTTACACAGTGCAGTATTACATGTGCGATATTTACAGTAAAACACTGTTTTTCGGGTTAACAAAAATGACCCTTTTCCTCGTGTTTGAACACTAACGAAGCATGGAAAAACACAGTTTGCCCGTGTGTGTAGTAGCGTAGAGAGGCATTACTTACTTTCTGCGGTGGCGGGCCGTAGGCAGGACGAAAGACCCAGCATCAGACCCCAAAACAAGGTCAAGCGGCTCCTTTCCTTTCGAGACCTCATCCCCGAATGAGTGAATCACACTTTAAATCCAGTAAATAAATATGCTGTGGGAAGGAAACGTGGGGAAAACCCAGTCAGAGTTATCAAAACGCCTTTTAAGCTCCAGCCAGCACCTTTTAGCTGTTAGCCGGCTAATGGAGCTAATAGCTACTACAAACAGGCTAGCAGGATTGCACTCTCACGTTTCCTAACGGGAGTCCAGTCGTGCTCCAAAAAAAATAAAATTAAAAAAGCATATATAGAGAGCGATATCACCGATTTAGTCCCGAGGTCAGAAAATATGTATTCATAGTTATTCTTCTCTTGGATAGCGCCGCACTGGAGAATATAAGACCACTGTATCTAAACTAGCGGCGGGGATTCCTCTGTAATCCGCATCTTCACACTCCATATCTGGAGGAAAAACCGTTCACCGTCCCGCTGCTGTTGCTGGAGGATCCTCAGGAGGCAGAAAACGGGTCAAACCTCCCCTAAAATTGGGATGGACCGAGATGGACTGGGGCATACAGTAACATATTCCACTTGTACAGTGCCCCGTTAAGTAAACGGCACGGCGTTTGTTTCGAAATATCCAGGATAAAATCTGGCTTCAGACCGCAGCCTCCTTCTTCTCCTCCTCCTCCTCCTCCTCAGCCGCTCATCATGCACACACGCACCGCGTTGTTGTGGTAATTCACCTTCATACCAGCGGGCTAAAATGAATATTTGACCTTTTTGCTGCGGTTGAGGTCAAATTCTTTGGTTTTCTAACGCCCTCGGTCGATAGATAAGTGAGCGGTTCGCGCAGTTACATGGAATAACTCACAGGTACGCACACACACACAGTCTCCTTCGGTCAGTCTGCAGTCTGCCGTGTTAGCCGTAAACACGGCGCCATGCGTACAGATCGTATATGCATCGTGTGATGAATCACTCCGCCTCGGTGAAAGAGGGCGTCGCTCTTACTGCAGCTTAGCCACCATGGAGAGCAGTTACCATAGTGACTGCTGTGGCGCTCATTGGGAGAAATCCTCAGTTTTTAACAGTTTCGAGCATCTTTGGTCGAATTAAGCGCAAAACTACATACACTGCACACCCTATCGGATTATTTTAAGTGCATAATATCCACACAAGGCGTGTTCGTTACGCTATCATTCTCATCAAACACGGCAGCATGGATATAGCATGGGAATAGCGGGTCTCTGAAGAAAAATGGCTTTACAGGGGGATGCAATTATTCGTTGGAGCTTCTATTTAAAAATCGGATGGAAAAATGTAAACAGAGTGAGACCTCTTGTCACCTCTCGGGGCACCGCCGTAGCGACTACCTTTACGATGATGAGGTATGAAGGAAATCAGGGATACTGATCCAGGATCAGGATTGTTTTCCGCTCAAAAAACACAGTGGAGGGCCAGCTATACAATGACCGTGTCTGTCTGCACGATTGCAGGGGTGTAGTTGTAAAGGGGGTGCGCAAAAGTGCACCCCCCTTTTTTTTAACAGTGGCGTGCCAACAATTTGTGACCAAGCAGTGCAATATGACACAAATGTAATAATTTACAGAAACGGTATCTTACCAAAGGCTGGACTCGGACTGCAAATATGATACTTGTTAACTGGCTTATAAATTTTGCATCCGTTTTCCCATGTTCCCTAGGATGCAACAAAAGATAAGCTCATAAAGTGCTTAGCCTGCTAAAAGATTTCTAAATCTACCACTTTAAGTTTGCACCTTAAAGAGGATTTCCATTTACAGTGAACACAGCATGCTGTTTCTGTGGTCTTCACTTGACCCTCATTAAGAATCAAATTATCACAAGGGAAGAAAACATACGCTTTTTTCTGCCATGTTCTTACTGCCATTGGCACCCAAAGGAAATAATATTTGTGTTCCAAAAAAACCCCACAGAGTTCAAGCTGTTTATTCTGAAAAGGTTGTGTCGTGTTTCAGAAATGTTAATTACTGGTTATACTGTTAGCAGTTACTTGTAAATACACAAGGGGAAGCAAGGGTTCAAATACACAGAAAAAAAAATACTAACCTGGTCACGGTAGGGAAAACAAATCCACCTGTGTATCTTTAGCTGTATAGACCAATTTTTCCACATATCTATGAATGCTATCTGTCTTTTCCTATAGGATGATAACCTATGTAAACATAGGTGTTACTAGATAGCGATATGGTGCTCAGGTATTTAGTGTTTAGTGTTTTACAATAATAATAATACAATAATAATATTGTTTTGTTTTTTGTTTTGTTTTGTTTTTTTACAACAATTAAAATCCCTAAATTGACTTGATCTTACTTAGCATACCTAATACCAATTATTCACTAAAATGCTAAAAACAAGAGATGGAAAAAGTTGAAATTTGTGGAAAATGAACCTCTAAAACCAATAGTGATAAATAACAAAGTACTTTGTTACTGTATATAAATAGAAATTCAGATATCTATTTTTCTGACAGTTTTTTTTTTACTCTTACTCAACACATTTTAACACAAATATCCAGACTCTCTACTTCTTATATTTTCAAAACTGGCTTATTACTTTAGACTTATGACATTTCAGGGGAATCATTATTTCCTCTCACCTCACACCTTGAAATACCAAATTCACTTAAACCTAAATAGAGGGATGGTGAGTGTATGCATCACTGATGTTTATTACGTCCAAAGAGATAGGCGAAAGAAAAAACAACCAAACAAAATAGCACACCAGAAAAGGACTGAGCATAAAGGCAGTGACATTTTTTTTTAAGTGGTAGGTAATTTAAAATGCAACATTTCTACCAGCTCAACAAATATTGGCATTCACATAGCTGTTTCTGTGCAGTTTGTCACAAAATCTGTCTGCTAGCTAGTGCTACAACTGCCACATTTCTCAGGGAGAGTGAGAATGAGAGGTAGCATCACTCAGAGGTAGAGAAAGATGTATGAAAGACAAGACAAGAGAGGAAGAAGAGAGGTTATTTTAAAAATTTAAGGAGTGCTCAGTGACTTTTGATGAACTGGAAATTTAAAGGTTATATCATGTGATGTTCTTGTTAATTTGAGCATTTGTTTAAAATACAACTTTATATCTCAAGTTATGTTTTCTTTTTTTTCATATTGTGAAACACCCTGCTAAACAAACTGAAGTGTACTAATGTTATTATTCAGAGGTTGCATGAAAATGCTGGCCAGTTTAGTGCAGGCTTCACTGGTTGGTTTACAATACCACAATGAAGTTTGTGCAGGGCAGTTGTGTTGTTCAAAGTCAGTGTGATATCACATCAAGGGTAGCACACAAATTCAAGCTGATGATGCTGATCAGATTCACTTGTGGTTTATACTAGCTCTATACTAGGTGTGTACTGATTATAATCAATTTCACTCTGTAACATTATGTTCTATGTAACAGATGTTCAAGTGAATTCATTAAAATTAGAATTAAAGTTGAGGTTTCTCTTCTATCACTATTGTTTAATTATGATATTAATATGACTTGGCTTGGGGGGGAAAATGAAAACTAATTTCAGACCTGTCCTTTTTCACACTTACTTGAATAAAGAATCAGTATTTCAGCTTTTATCAGAGTATTTTTTTTAACACAATTATGTTTAGTTTAGTTTTTTTTAATAGTACAGATACTTATCTGTACTTTCACTTAAATGCCTAATGTGTGTGCCTAAAAGGTATCATGCTGTCATGGCTTATGGAGACTGTTGTAGCATCTCCTGCAACAACAAAGGAATGAAAAGATACTGAAATGCTGCCACCTTGAGGGGAACAGACGTAACTGAGTGTGGGACAAAAAAGACTGAATGGAAAATTTTATACCGCTTTTTAAAAAAAACAAACAAACAAACAAACAAAAAGAACCCGACATATTCCTCTTGAAGTTATAGGTAACATGTGCCTTTTTTTACATGCCACATGGAAGCTGTGATCCTTATAATCCTTTCCTTGGACAACATATTGATCTCTATTTGAAAAAGCAGCATAACTAAGAGGAAAAATGTAGACAGGTGACAAGAAGAAGAAAAACTAGCAAACAGTGTATTAGTAAAGTAGCATATAATTGTTTTTCAGATCAATTTCATACAGTTTAGGGACCTCCGGTGTCCTCTGCATGGGGGCATTGGCACCCTGAAAGCGACCACTCCCATCAGGACTTTGTACTGATATGAACAGATTAATCCCTGCGAGGGACAAATGATAAAAGAGCCACCTGATTTGTTCTGCAACTTTGTTATACTGTAGCCCTATGAGTTGAGTACAGGAAAGCCGAACAGGTTTCTAAAACAACCCATTAATGAAACTGACTTTTACTTACATTTGATTCTCAGACAGATACAACTGCTGTGATCTTTTGAGGTCTAAGGCCCAGCCAGAGGAAGTGGAGGGCCAGCAGCTTGTGACGCTGTGAGAGAAGCAGACAGTAAACAAAACCATCCATAGAAGAGCCTCTGACAGTTTTGATTATCCCTGTAATTACAGGCCGCTTTCATCACTTCAAGAGCAGAGCACAGAAGCATTATTTGAAAGCCACGCATTACCTCAGCTCTGGCAGACAGCACTCAGCATCCGTCACAATCCAACAATTAGCGCTGAGGAGAAAAAAAAAATTCACATTAAAAATGAAGTGAATATCAGTGGCCACCCAAGAGTCCAAATACAGTGAGTCACCCTCTAACAAGTGCTCACTGTACCAACATGACCCCCTGTGCCAGAGAATGTTGTGCCTGTCCACTTGCATTTGTTAAGTCCCTATTAAAGTCCCCATGAAGGCAGCCGGCGGGCCCACCTACCTCGACTGTCCCGGTGGAATCCATTCTCGCACTTCACTCATGTGGAAATAAGCCTGTTTACCACCAACGGGTCACACATGCTAATGAGCGTCTGTTTGTTTTCCACTGTGCTCATGCAGGAGGAAGGGAATTTAGGGGGGAAATAATAGATGATATGCAGACAACAGCCTGGGTGGCTTTGCAGCACTAATGATGAAAAACGTACAACAGAGAATTAATGGAAATGAAATCAGAACAGGAAATGCGGTGTGACATTTTGATGAGTCTGGGCCTGAGGTACAGAATGGCGTCTGGCCCCATGTGAAAGTAGTAGCTGCAGGTCAGGCACCTTTGACTGCGTGTGTGACAAATAAGTTGTAATATACTGTGCAGAATTATATACTTGTATGCACAATGGAATACACTAATGAGCCAGTGCATTTTTATTGTGGGTAGATATTGTAAACCCTCACAGGCAAACACCCACACACTCTCTGGGAACCACAGCGCCACGTCATATAGCCTCAAAGGGATGGACAGTAAGAATCAAGAAGAAAGTTCTGTGAAAAAATATTTGCCCCATTGCTGATTTCTTTCTTTCGTTCTTTAGGTCAGTGTTCATGATTTCGCAGTAAGAAAGAGGCTGAAAAAAAAATGGCTTCCATAAAAAAGGTCCAAGGCAAACCCCACAGCTGACCAAAACAACACAAAGATTCGTCTCTCACTGGACAAAAACATCTTGATGATCCCCATGACTTTTGGGGAAATATTCCGACAATATTCAGACTGACAAGATCTATTATATCTGGCTAAACTAACACAGGATGTCATAAGTGGTAGTGTGATGATCTGGGGTTGCTTTGCTGTTTCATGACCTGGATGACTTACCATAATTGATGGAATCAGGAATTCTGCTCTCTGCCAGAAAATCCTAAATGAGAATGTCCGGCCATCAGTTCATGCCCTGAAGCTCAAGCGGGGTTGGGTTAAGAAGCAGGATAATGATCAGAAAGACACCAGCAAGTCCACCTCTGAAGGCTTTAAAAAAAAAAAAAAATGAAGGTTTTGGAGTGGCCCTGTAAAAGTCTGGAGTTGAGAGGCTTTCACATGAGCACATGATCCGGAAAACTCACCAATATGGCTGAATTAAAACAATTCTGCAAAGAAGAGTGGGACAGAAGTCCTCCACGGCGATGTGAAAGAC